CTGTAGAGTCAGGGAGTTTAGGCCTTTGGGTCCTATCATAGGGGTCGTTACCCCCTGAAGGGGGTCACAAGATAAATCTGGAAGGTCAAGAGATGATTAATGGAGTGGAAAAGAAGAAACAAGACTGAGAGCATGTTTCCATGCTTGCAGCTCAGTCAGTCGGTGCAGAGGCACAGCTGTGCTTTGAGCGTTGAGCTAAAGGCTGATTTCGTGATGCTGACATGGCCACATGGTGATTTTTATCAGGTATAGAGTTAACTAATGTTACTTTAGCTTCTTAGAATACCAATTGACACAAAGTGCTGCAGAGGCTGTGTGTGTGATTGGCTTTGCAGATATCCAAAGCAACAGATAAAGTGAAGTGCAGCTTAAACCTCCTAGGACCTGGCGACCACATATGTGGACATCACATTTTGTGTTGTCTGGACCAAAGTACTAAATTTCGCTCTACAAGGGCCTGATATCCACTTATGAGGCCATTATACTGCCACTGTTCAATTAAAATTTTAAACAAATATCCTCATATGTGCATCTCATTTTTGTCAGAAATAAAAATCAGGTTAAAAAAAAAAATCTGGCAATTCTTTGTTTTTACATTCATCAGGTCCCAATCAGCCCAAATATCAAAGAGAAATTAAAAATGCATGCCATGGAAGAGTTTGGGTCTTATGAGGTTAAATAAAAAAGCTAAGAATTCACCAGTTACTAACTAACATTTGATAGAGGACTCACAGAGCCTCCTTACTGTTTGTAATATTTACAAGTATTTCCTGCAGAAACACTTTTAATTTTAAGCCACTTCATGTGGACACTGAGCACTAAACCCCACCTAGTACTCACATAAATTTGAAAAAAAAAACAAAACTAACTTTATTCTTTACTTCTTTCTTTTAAGGCATTTTTTGTGCACATGGCAGTTGTCCCCGATCCTCTTATTGTTCCCTGTCATTCGTCCACACCTGTTGCTGTAGTCAAGCTGTGGCAGCCCCCTCTGCTAAGCTCTTGTTTTGGGCAGATTCTTCGTGGCTGGCTGGCTGATTGGACCCCTCCTTTAGCCTATCCCACGGGCTTTCTCCTGTTCCCAAATACCATATGTTCCTTCATGTTCAGCACATTAATAATTTCCTGCGTGTTATTCCCCCAACACTGCACTAGGTGTATCTCTTTGAGATGATGAATAGGCTGCACGCACATGAAAAATGTGTAAAATGCACAAAGTGAACTGGGCTGTGGATGAATAAAAACACTTCTTCTTTTTGTAAGAAAAAAATGTTTTCCTTTAAGTAATTTTGGCTGGAGGCCTATGAATGAAATGTATATATTGCTTCCTGTAGTGATAAGCTGTGACAGTATTAGCAAATGACAGATTGTAGCTGGAGAGGGCAGAGTATCCTCTGAGGAAACATGTATTGCACTTTTCTCTCATGTCCAGTATGTTTCTTTCGTGATATGGTGCACTTTCAAGAGACTTTACAGTAGATTAACTTATGGGAATGTAAGCAGTGATGAATGAGGGGCCAGAGGGGGAGAGGTCTGTCACCCAATCCACGGTAAAAGTTGGAAAATGTGGGTCATACTTTGCCTCTGGTTTTGGCAATGATGCCTCTTATATGTGAGCTTCTAGTTTGAAGCATGACCTGAGCGTGAGGGCCTCAAAGCCCACAGATACCACAGAGACATGGAGTGGTTAGATTACAGTAGCGGCTTGGCCAACAGAAAGAGACTCCACGAGCCTGCTGAGAGGAAATAACGCAAATTGTGTGTGTTTTTTCTTCTTTTTAATGAACAGAGCTGTCAGCACCCTTCGTGAGCTACACTGTCCAAGATCCGGTCAAGTCCAAACTTGATCCCCGTGGGGACGGCGTGATCTGAGCCCGGCCCCTCTCTTGCACTGTTAAAGAACAAACACGGCTATTTATAAAGTGCAGCAGCACGGCACAGTTTGCCATTTGTGAGGGCAGTTAACCGGTTTTTTGGAGGAGTCTGCTGTGTCCGTGCAGCTGTCGCTTGCCAGGCAGCAGATGCAGCTTTTAACAGGGAGATACTGTGAGTCTGCTGGGTTTATGAGAGGAAACCAAAGCTCCCAGCAGGTCATATTAAATGATATTTACAATATCAAATTCAAGGCATCCTGTACATAAGCAGTGGGGTGTGTATGAGGTTGGCTTATGGGATACAGTATGGTAAGATTTATATGGAATGAATAAAATCAAAAAGGTTTTACTGAGACTGTAAATTCTGAAGTGAACAAAGACTGCACTCTCCCCACTGAAGCAACAGGTCAGGCAGTTTTAGTGCACCGACGTTATCTTAGTGTCTCTCTCACATGAATCACACGTAAGTCTACAGAACACAGGGGATTTAACTATGAAACTTCCTATACAAGAGTTTAACTTAAAGACCCCCCCCAAACATTTAGTTTTTATTCTGTTTGCGCTTTGCTCTTCACATGTTTAAGCGTTCTTCTTTCAGTACTACTCATAATATTAGTGGGATTATCAGAAGCGAGAGTGAGTGCAAGTTATGGGCTTATACCTGCACCGGAGTCCTTGTTCTCCTTGTTGTTTGTCCCGGGCTCCGGTGACTGTCGGTCGTTATCGCAGCTCCCCTGATCAAGCCGCGCATCCGTGCTGGAGCAGCAGTAGCGCAGCTCGCATTTCCCGCAGCAGATTATCGCGTCTACTCCGTCTATCTTCTCCGGGCACTGAAAACCCTCTTTCCAGACACCCTGGGAGTCCCGCCAGCCGTGGCAAAACTCCCCGCTCGCTTTCACGTCAATAATGACCAACAGCAGAGTCACAATCGCTGTGACAGACATCGGGAAACCTCCTCCCCACATTCTCGGCCAGGTGGCCCGCGGCCGCACGCTGGCGCACTGGAAGAGACTGAGAGGCTTTTACTCCCCGCGTCTAAGCTGGTGAGGGGGGGTGATACGCTGGGTCGGTCCGATGAAGGGAGCAGAGGGGATGCAATGCAGGAGCCACAAACCACTTAGAGGCTGTCATTTGTTAGAGAAATCGCGTGCGTAATTCTCCAAAAGTGACTCCGGTTATTCATGAGATGCACAAAAACCAAATGGATACTACTACTACTACTACTAAAAAAAGTCAGAAAATATATGAATTTATAAGTTTGACTGATATTCCAGTTGCAAACCCTCGGAGGTCTGGTAAATCCAATGTAGAGAAACTAATGGATTTCCTTTGGCACTGCAGCGAGGCTGAACTCTTCAAATGACTTTCCTCGGGGATCCAGAGAAACTAACACTTGTAGCCTGATCCATGGGCGCGCAGCTGCTGTCACCCTCGAGTCCTCTCACAGCCAGCCCCGTGCGTAAAGATAACGTTTCAAACTTTTGTGGCTTGGCCTGCATTGTTGAGTGTCAGAAGTCAGTCAACCAAATCTGTGTCAGTCTTGAACTGAAGCCCACAGAGTCTAACCCACCCTGTGTCAGAGTGAGAGGGGCGTGTAAAAAGTCAGATGCAAATCCACACCTCACTGTAACAACCAGAGTAAATATACAGGGAATACCAACAAACTGCATACCACTGGTCAAAATGCTGCAATTTAGTACATATTTTAAAAAAAGTAAAATAAGAAGATATATCATCCGACCGTCTTTTTTGCCAACAGTCGTCCAGATTGGATCTTAAATTTTTAACTTGAGGTCAGAGGGATTTTTCTCAGTGAAAAAAAAATCTGCAGTTTGGCTTAAAATACATTATTCAACTGCCATATTACACCGATTTCCAGGTATACAGATAGACTATTTGAATTTGTTGTTATTATTATTATACTATAAACTACTATTAAAATGCTACTACCTTGAAGGAAAGACACCACGTGTCCAGTTAAATATTGTTGTTGGCTTGTCGCAATTGTCAGGCTATCCTACAGCGTTAATTTTTTGAGTGAACTTATCCCACAGTGGAACCTAAACCAGTTCAGTCTGAGCCTTGTGCGATATAAAAATAAATAAATAAACCCTATCAGTTCCTCTCTGGTTAAGAGCAGATGAAACATTTGACAGTTGGACATGTCTGTGCCAACACCAGCAGACATTTAAATAGTGACAATGCCATCTAGTGGTGATTCCAGATGTTAATGCAAAGTTTTTATTTTTTGAATGGCGGTTATTTGGGAAAGTTAGCAACAACTAGTTCCCATAAGTTCCCATACGTTTTTTTTTCTCTGAAGGTTAATTTAAATAACATTTGAAGAGCGGGGATGTTCTCATACGGCCTAGACAAATAGCCTTAGACAAATATTGTAAGATTTTTTTAAGAACCTCACCTTCATTCAGAAAACATCTCTAAGATTTTTTATTTCTATTTAATTTTGAATCAGTTTTTTAAAATTCAGTTTACTATCATTGTATTTTTATTGCGATATGAACGTATTTATCAAAGGCAAATTTTTTGATCAGACTGACAAAGAAATTAAAATCACATCAATATTTTTGATTGAATTTTAACTGTTTTAAAAGTGCACGATATAATTTCATATGTATATTTTTAGCCTAGTTTTTAATTTTTATTTTACCAGCATGTCTGGAACATTCAAAGAACATTGTTGTGGTCTTCTTTAAAGCTTATTTCTGGGATTGCATAGGAACCATGATGTTCACAAACGACATTGTAATCTGTAGTGAGAGTGGGGAGCAGAGGTAGTGAAGGTGGATGAGTTTAAATGCTTACGATCAACCATCCAAAGCAACAGAGAGAACACAAGAGAGGTGAAGAAGAGAGTGCAAACAGGGTAAATGGGTGGAAATTAGTCTCAGGGATTTACGATGTAAAAGCAATTTTATTACTCAAAATAAAATCCTCAGATATAAACTAACCAGTAATAATGATAAAGTATCTCACATTGACCCTAAATCACCGACAGGGGGCATTTTTTGCCGCCTAATGAAAAGGATTCGCCACCTTTCCCAGCAGCACTTCATTTCCCGTCATGCTCCACTGTTTGAAGCGGTATCCGTGGAAACGGCACAGGAAGTGGCGCGCAACTGTTGAAAAATGTCTTACAACAAACTGAAGAGGTGGTTTTGATGCCATTATTTGTCACCAGCCTTTAAAACGGCGTCTAAAGACAGCTTGGTGGGCGTTTCTCTTTATTAAGCGGAGCTCCACGTTGTAAAAAGTACGTTTTTTCAGTTTTAACTTGCCTTTTAGCCTAAGATAGCTCGGCCGTACATCCTAGTTTAGTGAAAGTTACAGAAGCTTCGCCATGGGAGTGAGAGTTAACAGCTAGCTTGTTGTTATATACTAGACACTTTTGGTAAATGAAACGTGTGCAGCCTTAACGAAGTCTCCTTGTCGTATTGTTTGTGAGCAGATGTCGTTTGTGAGAGTGGGGCGTCCACAGCAGCACGCCAAAGGAAAAAGGCCTGTTCGCCCCAAGAAGGCAGCAGCTCAAAGAAGAGAGTGGGTGGTGAGTATTGACAGCTGAACAAATACTAGAGACATATGAAGGCCAGTCACAACTAAGCAGGCAGTCTTGTACTTGTACATATTTCTGTGCAATTAGAAGACAGTCTACTCTTGCTTGCTGTGAATCTTCTCTACCATAATCTGAAATAGAAAGGTATGAGGAGAGATTATTTGTTTTCTAGAGGTTACTCAGATCATCAGGGAATCAAATTTCTTGCTAAACTAAAGAAACATGTTCATGGTGTAAAAAAACAAACATTCAAGCTAACCTTTTATAAGTTCCTTTATTTAGCCTGTCTAACTTC